TATAAAGTATTCATAGAATACTTGCTATTCGTTCTATTGTTCACTTCTCTTGATGAATCTTTATTTTCATAGTTTTATAACTATTCATTCTTATTTTCTTCTTTGATAATTTAAGATAATCTTGATAATGATAAGTACCAAATTGACCATACTTCTCTTGTTATACAATATATCGAAGATCTTGTATAGTTTCTGAATTTAATTATTGTTTAAGATTATTAAATATAAAGACTCATGCAATGGCAGAATTATATGTAATAGAAGATATTTTTAACAGAAATAGAGAGAAAAATAGTATGCCAAAATATGAAAAGCATACCTATATATAATAATTTTATTGTATATATGATATACAAAAAGATTGTGTTAATAAAATATATCACGTATGTAGGATAAGCAATTAACATGACATAATGCGAATTACTAAATATGTTCTAAAAATATATGTCCTTCTGATTACAAATAATATATATGTTACTAAAAATAGGATGTATCAAGGTCTAAAAATAAGTATTTCAGGTGTGCTATGGAAGATTTATATATTTTTATTAATTAAAATTATCAAAAAAAGTAATGTTCCAAATTGTACCAAGGTTGAGAAATAATAATTTTTAAAAAAACAATTTTTTATTTTTTATAATTTTATTTAAAAAGTTGAAAGAATTTAAAAAGTTTAAAATAGTTAATAATATATAATAATAGTTTAATAAATTAATTTTTTTAAAATAAAATAGATTATATTGATAATATAATAATAAAAATAATATACAAATTTATTAAACTTATTGTTAATATATAGTATTATAACTTATAAAAATATTTAACTATAGTATAATAGTTTTTTTTTTTTTTTTAATAGAATAAATATTAAATGCCAATTGTTTATTAATATATATAGATATTTAAATAGTACATCAAATATTATTTGTAATTCTAGACTATAGCTAAATATTAGTCTATTTTACTTTTATTACTTTAACAATATTAATAATACTTATTAAGTGAATTTATATTTTTTTGGAAGGAATCTATCTAGAAAATAGAAATTCTATCATTAATTTTAAACTATCTAATCTATTGGTTTAATTTTTATATAAGAGCAATAAAATACTATTAATTGTTTATCTAAGTTACTTATTATATTATATCTTTTCACTTATACAATTAATATAGTAAAAAATCTTAATGTAAGTATATACTTCTTAATAAATGTTCTGGTTTTTATTTGTTGATTGGCTTTAACTACTAAATTTAGAGACTCTTATAATCAAGTAGAGCATAATTCCTTAAGATTATATAGACCATATTAAGCAAGTTCTTAAGTTCTTTTATCTTTTAGTAAATACTTCAGTTTCAGAACCAGTTGATTTTGGCTATCAAATTTAAAAACATAAATATCAAGCAAAATACAACTCCTATATATATGATAAGTTATTGAGATAGCCATGTCACACAAAATATTAGTATTAATTCAGTATTTTTTTTTAATGTTTTCTTATTTAACAGCCAATAGGAAAAAGAAAAATATCAAGTGGATTTGTTAAGATAGAGTATAGTCCAGTCCGTATATTCAAATATAAGTATTAACTATAGTATAATAGTAATATTATAAAAAATTAATAAATATTTGATTTATAATTTAATTGGAAATAAAATATAAAATAAAAATTTTATATTAAAAATATTAATTAAATTATAAAAAACATTAATTTAATTTTTATTTAAATATAATAACAATTATAAATCAATTTTTTAAATATAATAAACAATATATTTTTTTATATTAAACTTTGTTAATTAAATTAAAACAATATTTAAATTCTAATTAATTATAATATAACATAGCTAATATTTATTATTTATTGAAATTATATAATATTTTAACAAATATTTCAATTTAATTAATAATTTTAAAATAAAGTTCAACTTTAAATTCTTTATTAAAATTATATTAATCAATATTTTAAAATAAAATTCTTATTAATCTACATTTAGAATTATTAATATTTTTTATTAATATAAATATAAATATTTCAATATACTGTATTTATAATTGAATTTTAACAATTTGATTTTTTTTTTTTAATTTTAAATAAATAATTATAATTACTTAATACTATCTGACAAATTAAACTTTTTTTTCAATATTACTAATATGGTTATTGTAAATAAGTTTATATTTAACTTATTGTATCAATATATAAGAAATATTTTTTCTTTTATAATTCATACAGTATTTTGTAATATACAAATTAAATAAAGAAATGATGTTTATTTACAATAATAATAATAACAATAAAAGACTATATATAATGATTTTTAATTTTAATAATAAATTATTTTTTTCTATTAATTATAATCATTGGTATATTGTAACATACAGTATATATACAAATTAAATAAAAACGTATAAAAAACAATAATTATGCAAATACGATTTAAGCTTAGAAAATATATTAAATAAATCTTTTCTTAATAATTTATTTACAGTTAAATGAATAATTATTTTTCTTGTAGCTAGCTACCTTACAGATACCCAGATTCAATGTCAGAAAATAGGATTATTATTCTAATATCCCGAAGTTCAAATATAATTTCGTAAAAATCAATCATTCCTATTTGTTATCGTATTAAGTAATACTTAATGCGCAAATTCTTTTGCTTATAAGGATATATGATAATATCTCATTTGATTATGATAGTATATTATGTTCTGACACATCATTATATGAAAATACGTTTAATACTTTTCAAAAGAAAGTAACAGTCACAGAAATAATGTATCACATAATTACGATACATCTTTTATGAACAATAAGGTTTGGTGAAAACATTGCTGGTTATTTAAACAAGAGCGCTTTAATGAATCTGATCGCGACTTCTTTACAAAGCTTTATTGGATTATTTTAACACATTCCAAAAATGGTGCCATATAATCATTCCATGTCCAATGACCTTCAAAATCTTCTTTACTACAGAGACAAGCAAATATACCAACTTCAGCAAGAACTCATTCAATGTCAAAAAAGATGCATTAATTATCAAACCAAATTAATGAGTCTCACTCATTCTGATCCAGATAAATCTCAAAATATCACGGAGATTATTAAGATCGAAGATTTATCTGACAATACTTCGAGTTTGGGATCTGTTATGGAGGCGAGCGACTTGGTCCTAAGGAGTAACCCAAAACTTTCAGACCAATCATCCCAGGGCTTGGGTTCTGTTATAGAAGCAAGCGGGAACCTAAAACATTCGGACGAAATATCAAAAGTATCCAACTTTTCAAATAAAGAATACGTTAAATGTGTTGACTTATTTAGCACTGCACAAGACGACTGTTTGTATTGATATTTATTAAAACACAAACCTCAAATCAGATAGAAATCTAATACATTTTTTTCTCTTTTTATTATTGGAATGGTAAGTGGAATACCTCCGTGCTTGTCGTGCCTACGTCTCAAGTGTAACTGAAGAGATTACTCGTTGGAAACTAGAGGATGCACTTGAAGTTAAATTTGGAGACGTTTTGGACCTTGATGTCATTCCCGGAAAGGTAAATCTAAAGTTAAACTTAAGATTCATCATTTTACTGCCATTCTGATGATTCTTGTTCTTCCAAAGTGCTGTGCGTTCGTTCAATTTGCCAGCAAAGGTGCTTGTGATTTGGCAATCAAGGTAGGCTTCGTCACTGTCCAGGGAAGAAATTTGAGGATTGAAAAGTGTAAGAAATTCAGAACCGATTACTACAAATAAAACGATAAGAAAATTTTTGTTCTATTTAGGTTTATATCTTCATTTATTCACTTAGCAAAGAGTATTTTGCGTTGTTTGAAAAATATTTGAAATTTGTAAATTTTTATATTGCAAATTATGATAGACAGGAATTAAAGTTTGTTTTGCCTCTAATACATATTTATTTATTATTAAACTATCTATGTGTTTTAATAGTTCTATCTAAAACAAAAATTATAATACTGACAATTTATCTGAAAATAATGCATAATTTTTCAGTAATTATAAATTATAAATAAGAATTGTATATTTACATCTGATCAAATAAAATTCGATATTTTATAATTTAACATTTATATTATTTTTGAATTTAAAATAGAATTTGATTGTATTATATTATATTAATCAAATAAGTATCTGTAGGGATGATCTGCAGGTTATGACTATATTAAGCAAAAGAAATCTTAATTCCAATTAATAGATAAGCAATATATCATTCTCATAAATCATATTTAGAGACTTAATATTGTAGACAGGTACTGTAAGTTGGGTTGAGAAGATTTATATAATTGTAATAATTTATTATAATTTAATAAATAAACAATTCCAGTCTAATTGAGAGTTTTAAAAAAAAAATTATATTAATCAAATAAGTAAAAAAAATTAATCTTATTAATAACAAAAAAACTTTCTTTTGATTTTATCTGTTTTGTTAAAAATTTTTCTTTACAATGTATTGCAAAAAAATCCTCAATTATATTTTTATTTGTAACTTGACAAAAATTATTTAAAAATACTTTATTAATTATTTTATCATTTAATTTGATATTTTAATTTTTATCAAAAATTTTATATTGTATTTTTTAATTTCTGTTTAATTTCTGTTTAAAAAAAGTAATATACATTTATTTTTATATAGTTTTTACTTTTTGAATAAAGATTTTAAAAAGTAAAATAAAAGAACAGATTAATAAATTAAATAATTTTTTAAAGAAAATATTAATATTAATATAATATAATTTTTTTAATTAAAAGTTTAATTAAATTTATATCTTTTAAAATATAAATTTTTAAATATTTTTAAATAAATACTTATTTAATAATTGTAAAAATTTTAATTATAATAAAAAATTTGTAGATTTTTTTGCAACATACTATATAATAATTTTTGTTAAAAAAATATTTTATATTCTTTATTACAAATAAGTTTTTATAATAAAACTTAAAATTTTTTTAAAACAATTAATACAATAGAATAAAATTTAATTAAAGTCTATTCAAGTTTAAGAGTTTTATTTTATTTTTTGGTTATATAAGAAAAGGCTTATAATAGTTTTTTTTATTTTTTATTTTTTATTTTTTAATATAAATAGGTATTAAATATATAACATTTATTAAATATTAGTTTATAATCAGTATATTAAGAATCCTATATCACTTATTTGTAAAAGTTAATCCTAGCCTATCATATTGTTAACCAATTATACAAACTTGTCCATCATTATAGGTGGATTTACACATCAAGTAGGACAAATTCAGGGAATAAGAAGTCCTACTATTAGTTTAAACTCACCTTTCTGCTAAATTCAGGTTTAGCAACCTATAGTTGCTTATAATCAAAGAATATGTACCTTACAGAATTGATTAGAATATTCAGATAACCCAAATACTTTTCATCTGGTTTCTCAGAGAAAATACTGTATTCTTTGTTTTCACCTGTGGCTTTGGATTTCCCTTTTCATCAGGTCTTCTTCTTTTAAACAAGTGTTAGATTGGAATAGCTCCAAGCTAGAGTATTCTATATATTATGGAGTCTGCCATATCAGGAAATGGACTTTTATCAAAGTTAAATCAGAAGCCTTTCCTTATATAACCTTTTCTACTTTAAACTGTTTTCAGCCTATAATCATCAGAAAGATCAAAGATTCCATTTTCATGCAGCCTAATTAAATTTGATTATGATCCAGATATTTGAGTATAACATTTGTGGAAATCCAGTAAACCCACAAATAAAGGATAAATTTATGTATTTTGCTTCCTATGGATATTGAACTAGGAACATGTATTTGAAGACCATAGAGCATTACCCACTATGCTATTAATCCACTGGTCTAGTTTTTTTTATTCTTTTGTTCTCTTATATATTTTTTTATTTTTATAATATTATAAAAACTATTTATATTAATATTATACTTATTAAATTCATAAATACTTTTTAAAAAATATATTTAAATAAAATTGTTGTATTTTAATAAATAATGCTTCCTGGTTTTCAAATGCATATCCCTAGTTCAATACCCAAAGAGAGCAAAAACATATAAAATTTATTCTTCATTTGTAAGTTTATTGATTTTTCTACAAATGATACTTCAAACATCCAGATCCTGATCAAATTTAATTAGACTGTATGAAGATGGGACCTTTGATCTTTCTGACAATTGCGGGCTGAAAACAGATTAAAACAGAAAAGATTGTATGAGAAAAGACTTTTGATCTAACTTCAATAAAAGCCCACAAACCCCCCTGGTATAGCAGACTCCATAGTATAAAGAATACTCTAGCCTGGGGCTATCCCAATTCAGCACTTGCTTAAAAGAAGAGGACCCAATGAAAAGAAAAATCTGAAGCTGCAGATGGTGACAAAGAGTATAATACCTTCTTCGAGAAACTAGGCAAAAAGTATTAAACAGATTATTCAGGTGTTCTAACCAACCCTAAAAGATACATGCTTCAAATGACAACTATCAAGATCTAGATTAGATTAGATAGTTTAAAACTAGTGGTAGGATTTTTAACTCCTAAAGATCCCATCTGGTGTATGGACCCATTTCTGTGGTAATAAATTAGCATAACTGGATAAGACTATAGGTAGAAGTGCAGATTAATTTAAATAGACCTTATAGTTATATAATTAAATATAAATCACTTAATAAAGATCATATACTATTAGTGTTTTTTACCTGAAAAAATAAAATAAAATAAAATTGTTGTATTTATCATACATGTGGTCGTATTACCATAAAAGGAAATTTGATCGACAATACGATTCCGAATTAAATACGAATTCCAATTATTTACTATATGTTACTTAGTAATTCGACCATAATACGGTTTTTGAAAAATGTCCGAATTCAATTCCACCACATATATAGTATTTATTATTTGTTTTAATACAATTTTTTTAAATAATTTTATTATAATAATATTTATTATACCATTTAAAATTTTTTATAATTTTTATTTATTTAAAAAAAAAAAAAAATTGAAACTATTCTTTTCAAATAATTATTATTCTTTAATTATTCAATTGGATTTTATTACTTTATTTAAACAAAAACCAAATTAGTTTAAATCAATTTTTTAATACAATAATAATATTAACTATTATTAAAACAATAAATAATATCATTTATATTCTTTTTTTTGAGGGATTTTTCCAATAGGTAAATATTATTTCTTTATTTGATTTGTATATAATATGATATATATTATAAAAGAAACAATATCTTTTAGATACAAAAGTATACAACAAGTTAAATATTAGCTTGCTTACTTTAATAATATTTAATTAATATTGAAAAAAATTTTAAAAGCAATATTAATATGTTAGATAAAAGAGTAATAACTATACCTATCTATTTAAAAGAGTTTTATGAAATCTTTTAATTTTTTAAATATAAAGTAATTGAAAAGAAAAGAATAAATATAACTAGAACTAAAATTGAGTCAAATAAATTATAAAATCTATAAATAGAAAACCAATTATTTTCTCAAGAAAACTTTCAAACAAACTCATTATCCTATCTTTCCAGCTCTTTGTGCTAATTGAAATTTGATTATTTGACATATCAAATTATTGTCAAATTTTTAAATTTTTATAATTAAATTTAAGTCAAATTTATACTTTTTGGTGCCACTTGGCATTAAATCAAATATAAATATTCATTAAATATTCATGAATAATTTGACTATAATATTATAGCATTTAGCAATGTAAATACAAATATTTGATAGATAACTTAGCTATAATTTAATATATTATATATTTAAAAATTTGATAAATTTTTGTATATATATATTAGCAATTAATTTTATTATTTAGAAAATAAAAATAATTAATAAAATTTGACAATTATTCATAATTATAATTAATAAAAAGTTTATTAAAATATAATAATAAAATAAATAATTTAAATATAACAAAAAATCACTCATATAAACTAAGTTATTTATTATCTTTTGTTTATTCTTTCTTTTTTTTCTTTTCTTCTTCTTATTTTACTTCTTTTTCTTTTCCCTTAATTAATCTTATTTTGAATAACCTTTGAAATCCACTTTGTATCTTTTTTTTTTCCTTTTTTTTGGTTGTTTTTTTCTTATTGATTTTTATATCTTTTATTGATTTCACTTTAGCAACTACATTCCTGACCTCACCAATTATTATGTTTTTTTTGATTTAATACTTTTCCAAATATATTAATGATTTTTGATAACCTTTTGTTTTTTATATTTTTCTATCAATTCTTCAGCTTCTCCTTTCAAATAATAAATCCAATCCGACAAATCTTTTAGGTGATATTATATCATAATAAGTCACAGTCTTATAAGTTCTCTTACAAGTTATTTTTGTATATTGAATTGCCATTGAATGTTTGTTCAAAACTCTTCTTAACAAGTTAATTAATTATATAATAAATAAATATTTAATATATAAATATTTAGCAAACAAATATGACCTGTGGATCTATAACACAGTGGTTAGTGCTCCACAGGTCAAATTACAAAATACCAGTTCAATCCCATGTGAAGGCGATTGAATAGAATTAATATGGTATCCAGTACCATAGCCAGTTATGTGCCGTTTCTCATAAGAAGCCATTTCATATGCCGATCCGGTAGGCGTTAAGATTGTGATCTCCAGAAAAGGCGTCGTGGCGTGACGATCGTCCGGTTGGTGCTAC